TGTTTCTTGAGCCCCAAATAAGCATATTTTGATTTCTGAAAGATCATGTGACACTGAAGACTGGAGTAATGGCTGCTGAAAATTCAGCTTTGGCATCACAGGAATAAATTACATAAAAAAATTTTTTTTAAATAAAAACAAGCTATTTCAAATTGTAATAATTTTTCAAAATATTACTGTTTTTACTGTATTTAAAAAAAATTATTAAAGTGCCTTGGTGAACATAAGAGACTTTTTTCAAAAACATTCTTACCATTCTTTAAAATAAATAAATAAAATTTTTTTTTTAATTGACACTATAACAAAATCATCTGGTGTCGACAGGATTTTTTTGGAGAGAAAATGCCAGATTTTAATTTTGAATGTAAGTACTGGGTTTCAACTTGTTCAAATATCGAACGGAATAAAGAAAGAAAGAAAGAAATGCATTCCTTTAAGCAACAAAAGCGACAGTAAAGACATCTATAATGCTACAAGAAATTTCTAGCTTGAGAAAAATAAAATGCTGTTCTTTTGAATTTTCTATGTATCAAAGTATCCAAATTTTTTTTATCATCGTTTCCACTAAAATCCACAACTGTTTTTAACAATGATAATAATAGGTAATGTTTCTTGAGCCCCAAATAAGCATATTTTGATTTCTGAAAGATCATGTGACACTGAAGACTGGAGTAATGGCTGCTGAAAATTCAGCTTTGGCATCACAGGAATAAATTACATAAAAAAATTTTTTTTAAATAAAAACAAGCTATTTCAAATTGTAATAATTTTTCAAAATATTACTGTTTTTACTGTATTTAAAAAAAATTATTAAAGTGCCTTGGTGAACATAAGAGACTTTTTTCAAAAACATTCTTACCATTCTTTAAAATAAATAAATAAATAAAAAATCTTACTGACCACAAACTTTTCAACGCTACACTGTAAATAGGTTGTTGTAAATTTTACAGTAACTTACTGGCAGCTGGATGCCAGTGATTTACTGTAAAAATGTTTACAGTATTAGTACTGTAATTGCATTTACAGTACAATAATGTCTTTACTGTTTTTATTTACAGTATTATTACCGTATTTTCATTTACAGTATCGGTACTGTAATTGCATTTACAGTACAATATGTCTTTACTGCATTTTATTTACAGTATTTTCATTTACAGTACCAGTACTGAAGAGTTTATTTTCATTTAGTTTAAAAAAAAATTTACCTGTAAAAAACAATCCAATTGTGATACAGCACTGTAAACCATGATTTTTACCATACACACCCCCCCCACCCCACACACACACAATAACTCATGAGCTTTAGTTCTGATAATATTTTTAATTGTTGAACATTTACACTAACAAAGTAGATGGTGAGCAAAGGTGGTGGTCACGTTTTGGAGCAGCACCTGGGTTTTGCAGATGGCTATGTATTCTTTGGCTGCTTATCTTTTTTCCCGATTATGTTTCTGTTGCCTAAAGATTCTTTGTTAGGATAAATCCAGATGATACAACATAATGCACTGCAAAATGTCCTAAGACAGGAGAAATTAAGATGCATTGTTCCAGCATTGGAAGACTGTATTTATAAGTGTTATACATGCAATGTTTGATATTTTGTAATTATTGTGTCTGTTTTAATTGAATGCCAGTAGTACCTATTTAGCGTAAAAATAAAATGAATTCTATATAAAAATGATAAATTTAATGAAATATATTAAAATGAATTACAGTATACTGATGAATTTGATTTTTTGCAACTGTAAACCAAATACAGTATGCTACTGTAAATCTTAATTACAGTAACTTACTGAAAAATTATTGAAAAAACCCTTTGAAATGTCTAACAGTGGAGTCACAAAGCGAGAACGAGAGAGAGATAGCACAGAATAAAAAAATAAGCTGACAATTTAATGAAGATTATAAAAATGAAATAAAAATGAAAGCATGTGCTAAAATGAAATCGTGTTCTTTCTTGCTTTTTTTCTGTCAAAATGGTGCAAAGTATCTGACAATGCTATTAAAATTCACTAAACGACAGAAAATTCTGGTGGAGAGCAAAATTTAGTGGTTACACTTTATTTTAAAGTCCAATTTTAACTATTAACAAACCATTAACTATGACTTTTGCCTCAATAAACTTTCAATTTGCTGCTTATTAATAGTTAGTAAGGTAGTTATTAGGGATTGGTAGGATTAGGTATGTAGAATATGGTCATGCAGAATATGTGCTTTATAAGTACTATTAAACAGCCAATATGCTATTAATAGGCATGCTAATAAGCAAATAATAGTGATAATTGTTCCCTATACTAAAGTGTTACCAATTTAATTAACATTTCAGTCTGCTCTTCAGTGTAATCATATAAACAGCCAATATGTTATTAATAGGCATGCTAATAAGCAAATAATAGTGATAATTGTTCCCTATACTAAAGTGTTACCAATTGAATTAACATTTCAGTCTGCTCTTCAGTGTAATCATATAGTTTCTTAACACTTATAACATAGCGTTGTAACTTTAAGGTTGCTGCTTTGTCCATGTTGGAGCCCTAAATACAAAACAACAGCTCTGAAATCTCTTCAAATATCTTATGTGTTCCATGAATAATAATAATAATAAAAAAATGCAGTAATTCAGGTTTGTAACAACATGAGGGTGAGTAAATGATGATAGAATATTAATTGTGGGTAAACTATTCCCTGCAAGACTCAAACACACAACTTCAGACATCTGGACCCCTGAAGCGGTTTCATTTAGCTGGTCTTAAAGCCGCAGTACCCTGAAACTAATCAGAATTAATTACATTACTCAACCGCTGCAGGGCCAATCAGAGTGCAGAATGAACTACAACCGCTGAGGAGAAAATTCCCAGGATGCTCAGGATTCTGGCTAAGCTATGTGATGAGAAAACTGAACCTGTGTCTCATTGACCGCAACTGACCCTGGACAACCCAATACCCCAACACAACACTCCAATATCTCTCACACACAGCCTAGGGCTTGAGAGGAACATGAAGGCAGGACAAAGGACGACTGTGTTTGAAGGTGATATATTATTGAAGGTAGATGTCACAACTTGAATCTGGGAATAATTAAAAATGTGTGTAAGAGTGAGTGGCCTGACCAAACTATTTGTGACTAAGCTTTAATGGAAAACCAAAATTGTTCACCAAAACCATAAGGACGGTGCGTGCTGCTTTATTCATCATCAGTGAAATTTAATATTCGAGTTGTGGAAGTTGAAACCAGCTCTATATGAGAGCTCTCTGTCGCCGCTGGCTAACGGCACTCAGCTCAGTGAAAGCGCTGTATTGTGGGGGATTTCCAAAAGTCAGCAGTGTCCGACTGGAGCTCCAGAGTACACTTACTTCAGCTCGACGCCAGCTTGTCCGCAGACACACACACAAAGGTGCAAAGACACAGACCACCTTGACATATTCAGACACACAGACGTCGTGGCGGTACAGATTGACACACACACTCATACGGCTGTCATTGACTACTAAAACACTGACCTGATTCACCATTCAGTACGTTTTCACACCTCAGCCAAAAATGCATACACATATACCATATACTGTATGTCTGATGCTTATGCTACACCTCAATGCTGCATTCAGTAAGACTTACATACCGAGATTATGCATTATACATACAGGCTTCACAGAAGATGTTACCAAAGGTTATATCAGTAATTCTGTATGTTAATGCTCCATAAACAAACATACACCTGAATAATGGACATCCAAGGCTGTTTTAAATGTGTTTGAGGAGAAACTGTTCTGATCAAGTTTGGTTTGGTACCTTGTGGGAGGCATTTCATTTTAAATCAATGAGCCGTGAGCCCGAAGAGCTGTCAGCACATTCACTGCATAGATGCTGGACTGTCTCATACAGCTGGATGCAGTCTGACAGCCAATGAGTGCTAAGAAACAGTGACAGACTGATGCTGACCAGGCCCTCATTCACATATTAATACCTTATTCTGCATGACTATATTTAGAACCCTTAATCTTGCATTTATACCTAAACTTAATAACCACATTACTAACTATTAATAAGCAGAAAATTAGGAGTTTACTGAGACAAAAGCTGTAGTTAATTTTTAGATAATAGTGAGAATTGGTCCACAAACTAAAGTGTGACCGAGCACCAAATCAGCATATTATGAATTATTTCTGAAGGATCATGTGACACTGAAGACTGGAGTAACGGTTGCTGAAAATTCAGCTTTGCCATCACAAGAATAAATTACATTTTAAAATATGTATTCAAACAAAAAACAGCTATTTTAAATGTAATATATCACAATATTACTGTTCTTACTGTATTTTTGTATTAAACAAATGCAGCCTTGGTGAACAGAGACTTCTTTCAAAAAACAAAGAAATTTATGCCAACCTCAACCCAACCTCATATGAATTCTGAGACTAATAACATGAATGTATTATATAATAATAAAAAATATAATTATATAATGATTTTTGGCATAAAAGAAAAATCAATCATTTTGACCCACACAATGTATTTTTGGCTATTGCTACAAATATACCCCAGCGACTTAAGACTGGTTTTGTGGTCCAGGGTCACGTATACATATATATACATACATATACACATATACATACACACACTCTTATATTAATTAAGTGGCCTAAAAACTGCGAAGAATCATAAATATTTTTCTTTTAAGTTATTATTAGTTTTAAGTTTTTCAGAAATTCTTAAAAAACTGAAAACTGTTACACATATTGGGTGACCACTACTGAGAAAAGATTCTTGACCCAGACTGTAAAATATGGAATATGTTTTCATGAACTTGATTAAGAAAATGAAATTAGGAGACCTAGATCTGAATGTATTTCCTAGATCTGAATCTTTAGCTTTTCCTTTGATTGCTGATTTATCTGATACATATGCACTGTTCCAAACACTTTCTTCAATCAGCTGTGTTGTATTAGCAGGCACATGAAGCTTTTACACACACACAGCCAATTTACAAACACACACAAAAAGATTGCCATATATGTGCAGGTCATATGCAAAGGCACTGAGAAACAAATCCATGCAGGATGTTACTTCACAAACACAGCTGTTAGAGGAGGTCAGGTGTGTAAGGAGGACCTAAGCTACACGCGAGTGTACGTCTTGTGTGTTTGTGGGGGTTAGTTGAAATCAGTGAGTGGTCAGTTGATATATGTTGTGCGTGTGTATATGTGAGTGTGGGCATTTACACTGGAGGGTGAGAGGGAGTACGAGAGATACTGGAACTTCCTGTGAGGAGTAAATGGGTTGTGTCTTGTTTCCGGCAGTAATCCGTTCGCCCTAAACACAGGAAGGCAGACAGGCTAAATAAGTCATATTACACACACTAAAGCACAAACTGGACTCCAGCTAGAACTCTTCTCTCATGCGTTTTCTCCTGTCAGAGTCTTATATGTTGTGCTCTATCTATCAAACTCTTGAACGCAAATACTGTTCATATATTATGAGGCACTGTCATCCTAGATGAAAACAAGATAAAAACAAGATAAAATGACGATCGATCAATAGCTGCCTCACTGCTTTCTACAGCACACTAAAAAAATCAATGAGATTGAATTAAAGACTGTCCTTTACGGATGTGTGTAGCATGACATAGAAAAAAACAAACTGTAAAAACAAAACAACAACAACAACAAAATAAACGATAAACAAACTGCCACCTTTGCCATCTGATGGGTGTTGTCCAAAACTACTGGTAAGTACTAAAAAAAAAAACTACATTTGATGAGTAACAAAGTTTGCAACAATTAACAAGTATGTTCTGTATAGTATGAATGTGTGTAGTATGAATGATATCAGGACATACTATATCCACCATGTTGTGAGGAACTGTGTCCAAAATTGCATACTGTCTAGGTAGGGTTGGGCTGATAGACAATGCCATCAACCATCGCCAATGGATGACAGACATCACGATGTTGAGCTGGCATTGTGATTCCTCAGCACCCCACCCCCTTCCGCAACCTGCCGCATCCCAATACCATGTTCTGAAAGGAAATGAAGTGTACTACGGAACCCCTGCAGGGAATAAATACGAGATGGGAGGTAAAATATATATTTCAATACTTTCTCTCGCAATTATATCATTGGGTAATCATACTGTATATAATTTGCAGGCATCAGGGAGGCATGTTTCACTGTACGTCCAAAGCCAATTGGTAGACATCGCCCAACCCTACTAGTAGGTACTACATTTGGTTTGAAACTTACTTTTCAACCGTTAAAAATAAGTATGAATTAAAGTTCACCCAAAAATTCTGTCAATTATTCACCCTTATGTCATTCCAAACCGGTAAAACCTTTGTTCATCTTTAGAACACAAATTAAGATATTTTTGATGAAATCCGAGAGCTTTCTGATCCTGCATAGACAGCAACAAAGCTAACTCGCTCAAGGCCCAGAAAGATAGTAAGGACATCGTTAAAATAGTCCATGTGATATCAGTGGTTCAACCGTAATTTTATGAAGTTATGAGAATACTTTTTGTTCGCAAAGAAAACAAAAATAAAGACAATTTCTTCTCTTCCGTATCAGTCTTAGACGCGTATTCATGAGAGGACCACAACGAGCCGCCATACTGCATGTTGCAGTTTCTCCCATTCAAAGTCTTGGTATATATCCGTGGACGCACAGCTTCCATAATTGAAACTGTACTATTCCATGAGGTCATTGTCATATTCGTAAAGAGCAGAAAACAGAAACTGATGTCTAAGGTCACATGACAATGCCAAAACGGCAGATATAGCACGTCCAGACTGTATTCATATTATACACACGCATACCTAAAAAAAAAAATAAAAAAAAAAATCTTTATTAATGATCAAGAAGTAAGTTCTTCATCAAATGTAGTATATACTCTGACAGTATGAGAATTCAGACACAGCTAGAGTGTAGACTAGACAGATAAGAGAGATGAGAGGAAATAGAGAAGGAAATCAACAGATGAACGATCAAAGCAGCAGAGAGATGAAATGATTCAAATTAAAACATTAGAGTGACAGATTTACAAAGAAAGCTAGAGAGAATGTAACTCTTGCAAGCTGGGACCGGCTCCAGGGCACATGTGGAGGGGCGGATGAAGGGGTCTACAGAGATGCTTTTTAGGGATCTGTGAGGACTGTCAGACAGGGCTACAGAAAAAACAAGGGTGTTTGGACACAGGGTCAAAAACGAATACGCTCGCGCCCACGCACACATGAGCTAGATGCACATTCATACTGGAATAACGGCATGCGGTTTACTCCCACAGTGTTCACGCATGTGTATGGGGGAGGCAAAACAATCTTGCTGTGTTAGTGAGGTCAGAAAGCCCAGATACTGTCCAGAAAGTGTCTCTGCGTGTGTGTTAGTGTGCATACAGTTAGATATTATCCAGGACGAGGTACTGGGCTCCAGGCAGAGGGGAGTGGGTTGACCTGAGGGTGGGTTACGGGTTCAGAGGTTAAAGGGTAAGTGCCATAACTTTGTCTGTGTGCGTGTTAATGACGGCCTGGAGCCACTGATGCAGTTTAACAGCATGCATAAATGTGCATTACCCATCTCTTTTCAAAAACAAAAAGAGACACTTGTCTTCGGCTCCAGATGTGTCAGTACGGAGATTTAGTTTGGTCTGTGAATGTAATGTAATGAGAAATTTAATAAGAAACAACAGTGTCAAAGATAAAAGAAAGTAATTTCTAAACAGCCTAAAAAGATTCAAATTTAATGACCATCAAATAAAAAGTAATAACATATATTCCTTTCACATTGAATACATGTGAGTTTAAATTCCTTAATTATTATTTTCGAAAACATCATGACTTTGTTGATCACATGATGTGACTGATTTGGTGGACAAATCTTATCAAATATTGAAAATACATTAACAAAATACTGCTTATTTAAAAAACATGTACAACATAAATGATATATTTTCAAGTCATTACATGTACAAATAGTATTTTTTAATGTATTGTTTTTATTCATGAATAAAGCTGGACCAATAAAATTGTCATGTCATTAAAGCACCTTTATTCTCTTGGTGGAATGACTGAAATCTTATATGGCTGTTTAAGTAATTTTAACAAATATATGACAATACAGTAACAGTATATGTAAATAAATAGTTGTTTTTGCAAGAAATACAATCCTGAAATGTTTTATGCATCACATAATCATGCATTACTGCCCATTTTCAATAATCTACTGACTTAAATACTTAAGTCAGTATATATATATATATATATATATATATATATATATATATATATATATATATATATATATATATATATATATAATTAAGCCTGTCATCCGTGCAAAAAAGCATATTTATGTATCTAGAGTCAAAATTAATTACTCAAAATTAGTAATGCATTGTAAATATGAGTAGATGAGTGACATAAGCCATCATAAACAGCCGATATGCACAGCTGCATTTGTGACTGCAGAGTCTCTACCAGGTGATGTATTTTAACATTGATAGCATACTGTCATACCACCCAGTCCTAAGCTGCATACTGTGGATGAGCAGAATGAGAAGGTTTAGAAAAGAAAGAAAGAGATCAGAGCTGAAGCCTTTCTTTGTAGAGTTCTGATAAGTAAACAGGACTCAAGCTGAGCTGAAGCAGAATGAATCCCTGATAGTGTGTGGGGTGGAGGAAGTCAAAGGTCACAGGTCCACTACTGCAGTATTAAGAGCACATTTACCACACAATTAATCAAATCTTCAGTCAGCCACTAACACCACTGCCCTCTGAAGGACCCCAGAACATCTGAAAACATCTTACACTACATACATACAGATAACACAAACATCACTAATACTATAACTCCCACTTATGGGCCATTTACATCCATCTCAGGTAATCTGATCACAAGTGGTCACGCAAGACAGATTGTTGTTTACAGTTGCTAGTAGCATGCATCTCTTGTGATCGGATTTCCAGGGGCCTCTGATGTTACTACATACATTACTTGTCAGTGTGCCTGTGTGTTGTTAAAGTAGCGCTGGGTAATAAATCGCCATTCACAATATCCATAACAAACATTTGAGTAATTTTCAATATTTAGCTTACATCTAGATGATCGAGTGCATGTTGTTAAAAAGTCTGCATACTCTGTGTTTCTGTATGAATGAGAGATTCATCATTCAAGTACATGTAACGCCGATCTTCTCAAGGAATATCATATAACCAAGATATGTTTTCATCCTTGTTTTAATTCATACAGTACACGATTTCTGATGTGCAGCACCTTATTTGACCACTAGATTACTAGATAACATTTTTGACAAGAAATTTGTATTAAATCATAAAACAAACCAGTTACAAGGAATGCATTTCATTCACTGATGGTATGAAATATATATTGTCATAAATACCACCAGTGAATGATATAGAAAAAATATTGCGATAATATTTTTGGCCATGTCGTGTCTTGGTGGCACCATTCAAGTTTCTTTGCTAAATGTAAAAATCTACTTAAATAATGCAACTCTGCTAAATAACTCCAGTGCTTCTTTAGCTAAAAACATGTTTGACACCATAATTGGAGTGTTTTGAAAAAAATGACATTTAGTATGAATATGATTACAAACTCAATATGCTGGGCTGTCAGGTAACGGGAATGGGTGAAAGAGAGCACTCGTTGACAGCTTTTCTTGACCACAACACCCTCTACAGCAAACACACTCTCACATGCACACATGCCCCTGCCAGGGCTGCACACCAGCCGTACCAGACTCAAGGGCATGAATAAGCTGCCCACCTTTCCTCAGCTTTGTGTCAGCTTATTAACTTTAAGCTGTTCTTAGTTGGAACCATCTTGGTGGGAAAGCAGAAGCCAAAGAAACCCAACCTGTCAAAACTTACAGCCATAGACAACAAATCAGTGCATTACTGTCATTAACTAACGTTACAGCGAAGGTCATAGCTTTAGCAAGGACACAGTCACCTGACAACTCCTGTTTTAAAAGATATATTATCCAGTCTGTGAATTTTCCACTGAACACAAGATGGACAAGCAATGTTGAAATACATAAATAAACACTAATAAATACGTACCATAAGGCCTGTATACTTCAAAATAAAATAAATCCAATATGGCGACCAAGGGAAGTGAAGTGATCCATAAACTTAGCTTAGCTAATATCAAACTGTATTGAAATCGACCATTATGAGTACCTAAGTATCAATAAAAATAGTTTAAACTATGCTAAAATATATTATAACCAATACTTGTTTACTGTTTATTTTTATTATTATTACAGTATCATGCTGTAAGCTTAGCAACATGTCAACATCAAACTCTACTTTTTTTTTTTTTTGCTGCCAGTGTAGAGTGCTCCAAATCTGTCACTTATGAGCTTCCATTATAGTTGGGATCATGCTATCTGTGTAGGCAGTAGACAGCAAACTAGTTTTGGGAACAGAGCTACAGACTCAGTGCAGCCTGGTTGGATGGGCGTCTTTATTAACACTATGCAGCTTTCCCGTACTGCGCCCCAGGAGGGTGAGAGAGGTAACCATAGACCTGAAGAATGATCCTTTCTCATGCCAGTATTTTTAATAAAACAATTTCATTCTCCGGTTTCAGAAATCCAGCATACAAATATCAGAGGAAAAACATCAAATGGAAAATAAATTGAAATATAATAAACAAGGGGAGAGAGGAAGAAAAATAACTAATTTTATTTATTACCTCGGGAAAATCAGAGATCCTGTTACGGCCGATGTTTAGAGTGCAAACAGAAACTAGCATGATTTTCTCAAGGCTGAATGCAGACATTTGATGTCCCACAGAGAGTCTTATAATTACAGAATATTGACTTTTGGAGGCGCGCACACGCACACACACACACACACACACACACACACACACACTGATGCGCGCACATGCACATGCACACACACACACACACACACACACTGATGCACTCACACACACACACACACACACACACACACACACACACACACACACAGAGCGGGTAACATTAAGACAATCATGCTCATGGAGCACTCCAAAACGTCCAGAGACAAACTTCCATTAAACACTTCATGAAGTATTTACATGCCTATGCAAGAAGTCTTCTATGCTAACAAATGCTGTATTTATTTGATCAAATCAAACAGTTTTAAAATGTTATTGATCCAAAACTTTTGTATTGTGTTCACTACAGGTTAAATTTAATCTCCTTTCTAAACTCTTTCAATTAATTTATAAAGAAACCTGTCAGTTTCCCTAAAAATAAAAATTCTAGTCGTTTACTAATTCATTTAAAATTAATTTACTCATGTCATTCCAAACTTGTATAGCTTTCTTTCTTCTGAGAATGTTTAAAAAAAAAGATTTATTGTCAATAGTCTCCAATGATTTTCTGACCCAGTTGACTTTACAAAATATCTTTTGTGTGTGTTCCGCAGAAAAAATAAAGTCATACAAGTTTTTGGGTGAACTATCCCTTTAATAAAAGCAAAGATGGAGCATGCATTAGGTAGTGCTGCTCTTTTTATATAGCTTGGTTGCAAACAAGTGATTAGCATAATGTTTTACATGTTAGTAAACACCTTGTCCTTCTTTTTCCCCCAGAGCGATGATGATCACTGGAGAGCTAAAGGTTTATAAGCTTGTGTGCTGATTGCTGTTTAGCTGTTTGGCGGTTTGGCTGATGCGGCTGGTCTGGCCTGCTTTAGCTTCATGTTTTTCCTGATTTGTTTTAATGAGTTCCTATGGGCTGAGCTTTCCCGCTGATCTCTTTACAGCCACAGGAACCAGAAACTCCATCAAAAACAGTCTGTGAAAACTAATAACGGACTAGTGAGAGGATATTAGTCTGGAACATACTTTTCTGCATGCTCTAGAGTGGTTAAGATATTTTGATAAGTTCAACCCTCTAATAAAAACTTTTTTAAACCTCTATAAATACTTAATTTTGCCTTTTCTCCTCTCTCTTGGCTTGCTGTCTTTCTACATTTCCTATTAAGGTCTCTGTCCTTTCTCTCTACCCACGTCTCCCTTACTCCCTCTGTCCTCTACATATTTGACCCTTGACCTGTGATGTGATGCACACGCGTGTATCCGCCCCAGACGGGCCTCTGAAAGCATTTTCTTTTCACTTTTGCATCCTCAGAGAGCTAAACACCCACTGGAGTACTCAGATCCAAGCTGCCTCACAACTCTAATGATGCTTAAAGAATCTCTCTGTTTTTCCCCAAAGCCAAACACAGGGTGTTTACTGAGAGCTGTGGCCAGTTAGGCTGTTTAGACCGTTTACTCACTCACTCACTGCACCTGCAGACACCAGAGTAAACTATAGAGAGTACAGTACTAACAGCAGGACAAAACCACCAAGCTAAAAGTAACAAGTACACATTACATTAAGATGAAATACTTAACAAACATGATATACATAGCACCTGATATTCTGATAATCAAACTGTAACAAAAATATCCCTACTGTGTTTTTAAAACAAACCTTTGTTCATCAGGCCATTGACGTTTTTTAGAATCTAACAAAGACAGACAAACTGGTTTAACTAGACAAACTGGTTTAACTAGTTGGTTGGTTGGACTCGAGACCGGTGAGTGGTGCAGGTATCACTCATTATCAATTAACTCCACCGGCCTCACTTCATTCCCACGGCTCTCGGCCCCCCCCTCACTTGTCACAGATGGATTTTAGTTGGATGGATTTCAGTTGGTTTAGTTGGATGGATGGATGGATTTTAGTTGGTTTATTTGGATGGAGGGGTAGATGGATGGATTTTAGTTGGTTTAGTTGGATGAAGGGGTGGATGGAAGAATGAGTGGACGGATGAATGAATGAATGGATCTGTAGATGGGTGAGTGGATGGATGCATGAATGGATGGATCTGTAGGTGGATGGCTGAATGGATATATACACAGTATATAGGTTTAGTTGGAGAGATGAACAGAGAGATGGATAGATGGACAGATGGATGAGGACTGATCAACGTACAGGTGTTGCTAGATTAGATGCAATTAGATGTATGGTAGACAGATGGACGGACGACGAATGGAATAGTAGATGGTTGGACGGATAGACTTAGTTGAATGGATGGATAAGTTTAGATGAATGGATGGATGTGTAGCATTTGGACCAATCAGACACACAACTTTTTGTTATATTTAACAAATAATATCGAACTCCCCATCACCTAACCAAATGGCCAATTACGAGGGTCTATGGACCCTTCCCCCGAAATGCACCTAACACCTCAGAAAAGCAGAACAGGCCTCTGGTTCCATGGTAACCAATGCTGATATCACTGGTTTTATGGCCTAAAAGGAATGCAGGAGATAAACTCCCTCATTTTCCTCATAAGAAAGACACAAAATGCCCAGAGTGAGTGTATGGATGGATGGATGGACAGATGGGTAAAATAATGGATGATTCAATGGATGGAGGGATGCCAGATTGTCATGACTAACAAGAGAATATACATTCTAGTGTACAGAGTGATATACTGTAACTGGAGAAGGAGTGCTAGAATACATTCCTGTGAAATCTATTAAATGTCCAGGAGCTCTACATAATTACTGCCACAGAACAGAGCCAACAATAAATATCTAAAAAAAAACTATCCTGCTCCAATATTAATAATTAAGAGTGTATAACTGGTTTTAAATGATTTCCAGTGACCTTCTAAGATTCAAGGTGCTGTTTCAGTAAATATTGATTGTCCTTTAAAGCCATGAACACTCAAACAGTATGTACAAGACAAAGAGAAAGACAGTGAAGGAGAGACCCAAAGAAATCACTTAATCTTTGACTCTCAAAATAGAGTTATGTAACATACTGCATTCGGGATCTCATAAATCAGAACTCTAAAGCCTGTTATTGACAGATCAGTGAGCTGTGTGATTGGCTAACCTGCAGGAGGAGTCTCTCAAAAGCAAGGCAGGCGTCCCAGCGCGGGAGGGCAGGATGACGGAGAGCTTGAGCAGCAGCCAGTCCCAGCTGTAGGACCCCACTGTGACTTTCCAGAGCCCCCCAACTGTCCCGAAACAACTGCACATATGAACAAAGCTGATCGGCTGTAACCCGCCCTGAGAAAGAGAGAAAAAACATAAGCATCCTATTTAAGCTGTCTTGATTCAACAGTTACACAAAACAACATTCAGTCATTCTGAATTCAGTGTTTACCTTCAACCGTATCTTTGGTGTCAAACAAAGCTTCAAACACTGTTTGAACTCCAGAAAAAAATGTACTTCAGTCCCCATCAATGCAAATCCGTTGGCATCACACAAATTTACTGGGCATACACACACACACACTGTGGTAAAGGAGTGTAAACACACAGCTCATCCTGTAGAACAGTCTCTTCAATGTGTTATGAACTCACAAATACTTATGATACTACAGCAAACCATAATATTATTACTAGGAAATAACTTAGTGTACGTGTTTAAGTTTATTTGCGAATGTATATGTATGTTTAGTTGTAACAATTTAAACAAAAACTATAATGTACTACTAAGTAAAACCATGTTTACTATGTAGGATGCTCAAATTGTGAATGAATCATTCTTTTGAAACTGTTCATTTTCCTAATTTGTTCAAACTGATTCACAACTAAAGCACAAAATGCCTCAGGAGAAACTATGGGAAAACTTTGGACTGAAGTAAAAACCAGTTCAAATGAACTGATTCACTAAAATTATTTGAACTTCGTAATGCTATTCAAAGCAAGATTTTAATGAGTTTTACTTAAACAGAATAATACTTAAACAGGCACACAATGGGAGGTAGGGGAGAGAATTTCTACCTACATAAAATGACCATCAGCACACAATGCTGTTCAAACGCATCACCAAACCACAACACGCATGCTTCGGTTCCTCCATGTGTGTTGAGACTAAATGTTTGGAAGAATGATGGATCTAAAGGGCACACTGCTTGGTAACCTCATGTATGAGATACAAGTCAAAAATATAAGAGTATGCTTGATTTAGGCTGATGTATCTCTCACTCAGAGTGTTTATATGTGGCCAGTCTCTACTAGAATACAAGTCTCTACGTTGGCATGTTTCAGCCAAAAACACTCCAACACAGAAACACATCCTCACTGACCCTGGTGTTCCATTAAGGGAGCTTGCAAAGACAGGAAGAGATGGTGAGAGGGAAAGAAAGGGATTTCATGTAGCAAAGCACTTTACTCCATCTTGGCCTAACTGTTTACCCTTTTAGCTGATAATGATAATTTAGCTTTTAAATTACACATCTAATTTGTTTGATCCAATAGAAAAAAATTATAAACATCTGTACAATTACATCATATAATTCATGCTCAAATTTCTAAAGACAAAAGATTCAAACACACAAAAAATAAGGAGGTGGGTGCAGGCAGGGAGCGTTTCAAGACAGTGAGGAGGTCTAAGGGACCCAGAAAGTCTGAGGGTGAGGGGGGGTTCACATTAACTCATAGAGTCACATCGCTATGTTGTTGCTATGAACCAGCACCAGATGTGGGAGTATATCCTGTGCAACAGTGCAGTCAATGTTTGCTTTAGTCCAGCCAAATGCACACACACAAAAAAAGAGACAGAAAGAGCACAAACAGAATGAAAGTTGGCTTGAATATAACTAGAGCAAGCCACGCACCAACAGCAAAAATCAGGCAGACATCCAGAGGGAGGTTATGCGATAGAAGATTGAAATTGAATCATTGGCGGGCTGAGCACAGAGCCCTGTGGTTCTCCTCAAGGTCATTTTCTTAAGATGACAGATTCACAAGATGATTCCAACCCCATTACAGCCCAAATTTCACAAACATACAATTTACTGGTACTTTGTAACCATGCCTCTTGAGAAACACTTACTTCTATGGGAACTCTGTGTATTTTATTTAAAATTTGAAATTGAGGCAATCACAAATGTTAGTAAGACATCAGGTAGTAGAATTAGGACATGCACACCATACTGCAACTCCTGCAGACAAAAGTCAAACTCTAGGTGGAGGTGAGGGGGACAACAGACCTCCAAAACGGCAGTAAAATCTTGATGTGCAAGTCTTGAGATGGTTTATGGTTTACGGGTCTAGAACCTTTTCCAACTACTGCACACTAATTGGCTAAAAATCACTGTAGGGCAGAGAGCAGATGCATATGAAAATTGTTTGACAACTGGCAAAATGAAAATAGACAGTTGGGGGTAATCCAAAAAGGCACAATCGCTAACCCCATAAACCCTTTTTCTCAATAATGAACACTTCGCCAGCTCATTTGTATATAATGAATCAGGGTAAATGTAGTCCTCTGATGTCCATGGCCACATTCTGTGGGTGGCTGGGTTAGGGAAAATGGCGGCACGGTCTAGAAAGACCAGTTGAATTTTGCCAGCTCATAAAATAATGTTGAGAAAATGGATTTTGTTCCAGAAATATCCAAAGACTGAAAAGGGCTATTATAGATTGAGTCAGCCTTAGAAAGCACTAGCAAAATACCCAAGAATCACTCAGCATAATTTGTTGGGCACAGCTTCATCAGGAAAAAGAGAGAGAGTTCCAAGCAGACCAAAAACTGGAAGAGAAATAAGAGAGACATGGAGCACTAACCATCACATGACCATGAAACAAGGGCTGAAAGTACAAAAACACACACAGTGAAGCAATGACCCACAGTATGTACACGCAGACAAACACACTCACGTTCACACAGTGAAAAAAGACCAGCAGAGTTCACATACATGCAAAAAGACCACCAGAGCACACTCATATTTTACAACAGCCCATCAGAATAATGCATCTGATGCTACAAGATGAACAAAAAACAAAATCTATAACAGCTGTGACTGCATTGCAAAGAAAAATACTGTGTGTATGTGTGTGTGTGTGTGTATGTGTGTGTGTAACTTGTTCTGTTTGATACACAGTATGATTGTTCTGGCACTGTAAAAATTCTGTTGGCTTGAAGATCAGGAAATAACTGTGATCAAGTGAGAAAGATTGGCTGAAGTTTCTGTACTGTAAGAGTGCGAGTACTTTGGAAGAACAGCCCTGTGTGTGGTTGAATCAGAACTGTTTAGCAATATAAACCCACATTGGCATGATATTCTCTTACTCTCCTAAACATACACACATTGACAGATGTGCATGTTGTCACACTAACCAGAAGGGCACTCGCTTTATAGGATTTGACAGTCAAATTTGCAAACAAACACACAGAAACAGCAAAAAGGGTTGTCTTGTTTGCATATTTAAAAACATAAATGAGAAGACCTGCAATGAGTGTGTGAGTCAGTTTAGAGGTTATGGTCCAATGAACTGTTGCCCTGTCATTTAGGGTGTATGCTTTTGCTAGACCTTCAGATTCAACAAACTGCACGCTGGTTGACAGATGAGAACTGTTAAAATGTTGCACTAAACTATACTAAAACTGTTCAACTAAACCGACACTGGTAGAAAGCTGTTGTACTAATGCTGCTGAAATAAACTAACCAAAATAGGTAGGAAAGAATGTATAACCAAAACTATTGATCTAACGAATGAAATCTAGTGGAAAACAATTGTTGCACTAAACTGTTGCACTAAACTAAACTAACTAAAACTAGTGGAAAGCTGTCAAACTGAACTAAATAGGCTTGGTGGAAAACCTGTAACATTCAAACTGGTTAAAACTGTTACATTAACATGGTTGAACTTAAACTGATGTGTTAAACTAAGGGCCAGATTTACTATCAGCTTGCTCCAACGCAAACCCTCATTAAAAGGATTAAAACCCTTGTTAAAAAAGTCACGCAGTGGGAAATTATCACTGAAAAGGCATGGACAGTTATTTTTGCAAATCACCTTACTGAATATGCATTTGTAGAAGTTTCCCTTTCGATCAGTAAATTTATGGGAGAAGAGTATTTAAATTAATCACGCAACACGATTTACTAAGATTTGCACTCGTCAATTCACTGACGGTATTTGCGGCATTATTTAACGTCGAAAAATGCATGTCTTAAAGCAGGCGGTAATTTGTGCTGCTCTTGGTAGATTGCGCTGGTCATTATGGAAATGAGATGTTGCGTCTCTGTTCTTTATTGTGCACCTTGTCAGTAAATCACCCACAGAATTTTCCCATCCCATCGGCGCTTTTATGGAATTGTGCACTAACGCTAATAAAGTAAATCTGGCCCTAAAACTGCTGAAAAAAATGCTAAACTAAAACGGAGTAAAAAGTTGTCACTGTACACTAAATCTGTTGAACTAAACTAGTTAAAACTGTTGGAAAGCTGTTGCACTGACTAACTGAACTAACTAAACTAAAAAAAACATTTACTCTATATTGTTGAAATATACAAACTTTGATGAATGTAACACCAAAATCGTTAAACTAAACTAACTAAAACAGTTGAAAACTGTAAAACTAAATCAGCTATAAAACTTCTCAATTACAACAAATCTGCTGAAAAACATTTACACTAAAATTGTTGAACTATGCTAGAACTATAGAAAATCAGAAGAACTTTTAGACTAAACACGTTTAAAGTAAAAATGGTCAAATAAAACTGTCCAGCTAAACTAAAATAAACACTGTCCTGCAGTTTATTTTAAAAACTTAATTTTTTCCACATAAGTCTTCTACTCTACAACACTATTCCCACTGATTATAGTTATTGTGTCTGTGTGTATTTAAGAGCTGTGTACATGTCTAACATGCCTGTGAGTATTTTTACCCCTCATTTCAGACTCTATTGCTTAACTTATGAACAGCAGAGCACCTCTAGAACATATGTGTGTGTGAACATGTGATCGCACATGAGGTTCATATTTCCTCAGTGGCCACATGGGCTTCCTGACCATCTGTAGTACTGTTCGCTGTCTGAAGAAGGTGCTGTGGGTCTTTGACTAAAAACCACTGAATCGTACTGGCTCCCCGTCTCCTTCTTCTTCCTCTTTTCATCTCTTTCGGTCTTCAACACTGAATCTCTCTCTCTATTGTTCACTATGTTTGTCATGGCTATTGATGTAAAATCTATAGTAAAATTTTTTTTAATATATCTTTGTCTTGTTACACAGTATTGTGCAGCAACACACACAAACTGTAAAAAAGTAAATGTACATTAAAGTTCTGTAAAGCCACAGGAGGCTCTTTGTTTGGGCACAAAGCCTAATTTGTATTCTGGCAGCAATTAAAAGTTTATAGCATCGCTGTCATTTGTGGGTAAATTTACCTTTACTAATTAAATATAAGCTTTGGATTTCTGGATTCACACTCATTCGGAGTCAATAATCCTGTGGTGTTCTGAGTATTTTAAAGGGATAGTTCACCCAAAAAACAAAATTCTGTCATTAAAGTCATTATTTTAGTTTTATTTGGGCACAAAAAGTATTCTCATAGCTTCATAAAATTACGGTTGAACCACTGATGTCCCATGGACTATTTTAACGATGTTCTTACTGCGTTTCTGGGTCTAGGAGCAATTCAGTTACATTGCTGTCTATGGAGGCTCAGAAAGCTCTCGGATTTCATCAAAAATATCGTAATTTGTGTTCCGAAGATGAACTAAGGCCTTACGGGTTTGGAATGACATGAAGGTGAGTAATTAATGACAGAATTTTCATTTTTGGGTGAACTAACCCTTTAATGCCGGTAGGGAATAGGTTCTCAATGTCTCATGTAGTTTAAATGTGGGCGTGGCCTTACCTAGACTCATTTTGATTGGCAGGTTCTCTTTGCTGGCTGCCTCGACCAGTTGTCTCCTCACTTCCATCACTGCCTCCTTTTGCTTAGCAACCAGCATTGTCTCCCACAGCAACCGTGCAGTGGCAGATCTGTGGAAAACAGCCAGGTAATAAGGACTCAACCTCTTTTATTTATAATTCACATTACCCATAAATGCAAGAGCTAGAAGAGAAAAGCCAAAAATAAAATTTTAATAAGACTTTAATAATATATTATATGTAATACTGATATTAATTATTATCAAAACCATAGTGATTTAGAAGCCAGTGTTTTATTTGATTTGATTTATTTAGTACTTTTACAAAACAAAACCATGTGATGAATTGGTGATGATTTGATTTGACCCTAAGGGGTTGCAAAAGAGTTTAGCAAAAAGAGGGTTGCCCAAAGAATGAGAAGATTTTTTTTTCAATTCAAAGATACACTACTACTGGATGACAATGAGCTAACAATATCAAAAACTATAAGAAAACTTAAACAAAACAAAAAATTCTGACATCGCTGTTTTACATTTTTTGCAAAGGCCGTTTCTTTCCATGTTCGCTTTGTAAACACTGGGTTGGTACTATTGCCAACGTCACGCGTGAACCTTCCAACATGATTACGTAATGCGTGAGGTTGATCTAGTGCAAGATGAGCATTTGTAGTTAAAATGTATATACATTTTAAATGTTTTTTTAGAAAATGACCGATCATTTTGCTAGATAAGACTTTTATTTGTTGGCTCTGATCATGTAGCACCCATTGAAACTGAAACTTGTATCTTCAACCCGTTGGCCACCATTGAAATCCACTATATGGAGAAAAACCCTGGAATGTTTTCCTCAATAAATTTCTTTTCAACTAAAGAAAGAAAGACAAGTGAGTAAATTATCAGGACATTTTTATTCTGGAAGTGAACTAATCTTTTAAAGCACTGTACAAGCTATTTCGGTTGTATGTGTTCAAGGCTATTCACACAGGACACATTATTACACAACATAATGGACCAGAATGTATGGGGTCTTGAGACCCAACAAAAGTTGAACTTCTTTTAACTTGACATGGCATCTTAAAAACGTGGCACCCAAGAAGCAGTCACATCACAACTGCCAAAGACAATCCATTAAGTAAGTGTTTACATAGAACAACAATTAAAAACAGTGTATATTGGCACGAGAACATGTCCCTAGTCTTTCTGTCTTGCTCTATTGACTATTCATCATTTTCAATCTCCTACCCATCCATCAGGAGTAAGTAACAGCTTAAGTAACTGTACAATCATTATTAAGCAAGGGTTTCTCAAATGATCTCCTCTTATGACATGTGATAATGAGGCATCATCATTCTGTTCTTCATCACTTGCTCCTCCTCTTCCTGTCTTTAATCATCTGCTGGATTGTGTGTGCGTGTGTGTTCCGGCTTATGTGCTGCTTGTCATATTAATCAGGCATTGGAAACTTCACACAAACCCTTGATGAGAGAACTGACAGAATAAAATGAAATTGTGGGGGGTGGGCATGCAGCCTGAGAAAACACATGTAAATAAGCAGAATTTTGAGGAAAGGACAAGAGGAGAAGAAGAAGAGTAAAAGACTGAGAAAGTGAAGGTGCAGGACATGAAACAAAGGACAAGAAATGCGAACGAGGCAGAGGAGAGACATGAGGGCAAGCGACGGAGGGTGGGAGCGTTTTACTGACACTGAAACCAAATGTTAAACCTGCTCTGTTTTACTTTTGCTCTTTTTGCTTTTCCTCTCTCCCTCCGTCTATTTCTCTCTCTCCCTTTCTAACGGTTGCCATGTGTTGGATCTCAGCTGTAATGTGTTCCAGACAGAGTTTTGGCAGTGCTAGAGAGAGGCCTGACTCCATTACTCCAAAAACGAGACAAAAAGTGGGGGAACAAAAATGAGGAGGACAAAAGCCTACATAATAAACATGGGGCTTGTTGTTCTAAAGCACAGACTTGTGTCGGGAATTACGAGCGGAGGGACAGTACAAAAACATGGCAGATAACGCAAGAACGTGAACCGGCTCAGTAATCTGGAGATATGCGAAATGTGACCAAAAAAAAGGGGGAAAATTTGGAGAAAAATAAGATCACAAGATGGGCTGGTCACACTTCCTTGCCGATTCTTGCGAAAGTAGGTGGAAAAAAAGAAAAACATTTTTTTTTACAGACTGTAAAAGCGAGGAATGCGGAGCCCATTGTGTTTTCAGATTACACTAGATTAAGCACCATGAAAGTAACCTAAAACAACAGACGAGAATATAATGAAGGTGTACACTACCAGTCAAAAGTCAGGACACACTTGAATGAATTTATGTTTCCCATGATCGTAAAAACCTTTCCATCTGAAGTCTTATGCTTAATTGCTTAACATTAGTTTAAGTAAAAATAAATTAAAATACATTAGATGAGTTTGATCAGCAAACAAAAAATAAAATAAAAATGGAAAAAATAGAAAAGAGTTTGGCCAGCTAAGAAAATAAAACAAAACAACAAAAAACAAGAAATGAGTTTAGCCAGCTAAGAAAAACAAGCAAACGAAACAATAAAAGAAAATAAGAAAAGGGGGGGGGGGGGGGGGGGGGGGGGGAAGCGAAGGAAAAGCAGTCAACAAACATCCAACATGTGAACTCCTTCAAAAGATAAACTATAAGATAAGTCTGACATTTTCTGGTCAATACATAATTCCCATCTTCAATTTGTGTAAATTCATAGTTTGGATGTGGAAAATAGTCTAAGAATGACTAGGTTTTGAGTGGTAGTAAATACAGACTACATCAAGGCATCTTAAAGAGATCTTTAATGGACGAGTGAATGTTCTGCAACCTTCAGCAAGCACAAATCTTTGAAACTCGGTCAAGTATGTTACATGTTTGTGGGTAGGTAGTGTGTCCGTTTCAATGAGGCTGAACTGATTTTGCATGTCGTAAACAGATGCACACATAGTCAGCGTAGTTTACATACCAGAGTTAAGACTGGACCCTCTCTGTGTGCATGTGTATTTCGACTCTGCGTGTATTCCAGGAAGACGAGGGGTCCTTTTGGAATGTTTCGGAGGGGCAACATGGTTCCAATTTACCTCAAAACCTCCCCCCTTCTTTACTCCACTCCTCTCCTGCAGTGTTCCCCAGGCTCGACATCATGACAAGGGGGTTCAGCGAGTTTGTATATGAGTGTTTGTGCTGCATTAGTACTTTAACCTATGGAGGGCAGTGTTGGTCTGCAAAGACAAAATATTTATTACCCATTCCTTCCACAACCTCCTTGTAAGGTTCAGTGTGTGTGTGTGTGTGTGTGTGTGTGTGTGTGGTAGGTAGGGGAAGTTCAGGGTTCCTGGAAATACATGACTGAGCACTTAAGAATGGACTTCAACTGACTTAGGTATGCCTGAACGCCTTAAGATCTGACTTTATACACACACAGACACTGAATTGCATCCAAAATTGTTCCAAAATGTGATTAACAATAATTGAATGCCGTTTCTCAATAATGTTTTGGGTGTGTCGTAATGTAACACAAACTTTAAATAAAATCCAAAACAATATGGAGCCAATGTTACACCCGCAATTTTACACAGATGTGATGTTATGATGCCATAATCGTAGTGACGAGCAGATTGATTTAGTAGACAGTGATTAAGTCTGTGTTTATCAACAACAGGAAACAAACAACCCCCCTCGTTAGCAGCATTCAATCCAGGTCAGTTATTCTTCAATTACACCCACTTCCAGGACTAATGATACTATGCAGACATATGCTTGCACACACAAGGAGACCTGGCAGATGCTCCATGGGTGAGGTGTGTGTTTTTCCGTGCTCATTACAATCTGTAACAGGACTCTGAGAGAAATAAACAAAACTAAAAATAAGAAACAAAAGCAAGCAGAAACCTGGATTCATCATCAGAGAAACAACGAGAGCACACACACAGGCCAGGTTTTTTTTCCTGTCAGGGTTTGATAAAGGAAAGAGCAAAGGAAATAGGAGTGCAAAAAGTTTCTTAAATCTGAAAAATATCTCCAAAGCGAGCCTGCCATTTTCACTTCAAAGACAAATGTCATCCGTCTCTTAAAGAGATTGGAGAATGACTGTTATGTAAGTGTCATTTGGAGAAGTACCGGAGATGGCAAACAAAAAGACTTTAATAAATTGGGTTGTTTCAAGCCTTTAGATCCATAGAGAATGAGATTATGTAATTGGCGGTTTTCATTGATAACTGCAGCTGAATATTTTATCTTTTGGCTTGGGTTGGTGTGTGGATTTAAAATTTTTTTTTAGTGAGCCCTGTGAGATCTAGCCATAAAACTGCCTCTCTGTTGCAATTACCATTCAGGTCTCCACATCACCAATTATTGTACTGTGATATAATTGTTTTATATAATGGTATATACAGTATACATACATACATTATACACACACATATATATATATATATATACAGTGGGGAAAAAAATTATTTAGTCAGCCACCAATTGTGCAAGTTCTCCCACTTAAAAAGATGAGAGAGGCCTGTAATTTTCATCATAGGTATACCTCAACTATGAGAGACAAAATGAGAAAAAAAATCCAGAAAATCAAATTGTTGGATTTTTAAAGAATTTATTTGCAAATTATGGTAGAAAATAAGTATTTGGTCAATAACAAAATTTCATCTCAATACTTTGTTATATACCCTTTGTTGGCAATGACAGAGGTCAAACGTTTTCTGTAAGTCTTCACAAGGTTTCACACACTGTTGCTGGTATTTTGGCCCATTCCTCCATGCAGATCTCCTCTAGAGCAGTAATGTTTTGGGGCTGTCGCTGGGCAACACGGATTTTCAACTCCCTCCAAAGATTTTCTATGGGGTTGAGATCTGGAGACTGGCTAGGCCACTACAGGACCTTGAAATGCTTCTTACGAAGCCACTCCTTCGTTGCCCGGCGGTGTGTTTGGGATCATTGTCATGCTGAAAGACCCAGCCACGTTTAATCTTCAATGCCCTTGCTGATGGAAGGAGGGTTTCACTCAAAATCTCACGATACATGGCCCCATTCATTCTTTCGTTTACACGGATCAGCCCCAAAGCATGATGTTTCCACCCCCATGCTTCACAGTAGG